GTGCTCAATTTAACTGCTTAATACACACCTAGTAACATTTTTACAAAAAGTGATGTTCCTAGAATGCATCCTTTTCACCAAGATTTCTGTATAAACAAAGCAATGCTCTTCATTTGGGATCTTTTCCAACTCTTACCAATCAAAACATGTTTGTCCCACCAGGGTAAAGGGTCAATTATCATCATTTTTGTTAATGAGAACAGCAAAGGGCACTGCAAGGATAATGAGACTGAAGTTAGATGTTAGGCCAGCATCTATCTCACTCCTGCTGAAAACCTAGTGGAATATACAGGTCCACTTTACATTGAATAAGAGGAATTTTTCTTCTTTTCCCAATGTTGACTTGACAATGGTCAGCTTTATGAGACTGAAAAGCCACCCTCACATGTACTGAAGTGCATACTAGCATAATGCAAGACTGGCACCTTCCCAGGGCTTTATTATCTTTGCTGCAGATACAAATAGCAGAAGTCAATCTCCTTTCAGTAAGTTCCTCTCCCTGCCTGGCAGGTAACAAGGAGGTGCTACTTCCCACCTATCCCGTCCTCCTGAACTCTCCTTTCTTTCAGCCAAGAAGCAGGTGAGATGGTCTACTGATCTGTATTTGTAGGTGTAATGCAGTGAGACAAGGAAGAGACCTTTCCTTTCAAAACAACATAAGGAGTCCTATTTTCAAGAACCATTTAGCTGAGTTCAAAACTAGACACAAATTAGCTTCAGAACACTTATGAAACAATACTGAAACAGTATCTCAAGTTCCTTCATGTTCTAAAATTCTGAGATACTTAATGTTAACAGCAAAATTTTACCATATTAAATAAAAGGGGTAATGGAAGGTCAAAATAAAGAACTTATTACAATGTAAACAAAGTCATCTCCTCAAGGAGAAAAGTTTGAGTTCTCAATTTGATGAAGTTCTTAAATTCCGAAAGGAAGGAAGGAATTACAACATCTGGGGTGAGGTACCCAAAGTAAATTTGTTGTAACAGTAAGTAAAATGGAGACAGCATCTTATGCATGTGTCATCCAACTGATCAGTATGCAGAATTAGCCAAATGAGGTACAGTTTGAGTATCTTAGGTCATCAAAGACTATATGCCTCCAAGATGCTTCTAACCTGGAAAGAATACCCCAGTGTGTTCTGATTAAAGAAGTTCCTCAGACTACCAATACGGATGACTATGGAGAAATAGCACTGAAAGAGACAGGAAGACACAATGTTCTCCCATCCATACCAAGACCGGAATCATTCCACTCCCAACTCCTTCTTGTCCTAAAATGACATTGTTGTAAATAACAGAGCTCACTTTTCATTTCCAACTTGGATCCACACAGGTCCTCAATTTCACTGTACATACCAATAATTTCATTGTTATATTTGGTTCTGTGTACAATTTTGAGTCCTACAAGATCAATGTCTCAAAAATGCCATGGTGTATATACTTTTATCTTCAATACCCATTCATTCACTCATTTATTTATTCAGCAAATATTAAATTGCATACCTAACCATACGCTAGGTACTGCTGGGCAGTGAAATTAAGAGGAAAAAAATGTCCCTGTTCTTAATTACTGTTATAGCCTAGTGAAACAACATAGGGCAAACAATCACAACTGAAGGTGGTTAATGCCACAAGTGAGGGTGTGCACATGACACAGGAGGGCTTGAGATAAACAGTTTGCTTAGAGAAGGCTGCTAAATGTAATCCTGGAGACGAGACATAGAGAACAAGTTGTATTTTAACAAGTGGAGGACTGAAGTAAAGGGGTATGCGAAGGCGTGAAGGTTATGAGAAAAGATGGCATATATCAGAGTGTTGCAAAGAGCTCACTATTTTGTAGATGAAAGTGCAAAGGGTTAGAGGAATTGGAAAAAAAAATGTGTACTGAGGCTGTATTCTGGGACTGTATGGTGAATGAGGTAAAATTCTGCTGCTAAGAAGCTTACCATCTAGAGAAAGAAACAGACCTTCATTTCCAACAGCTCATTTCAGTATGGTTGGTGTCCTAGTGAAGAACCCACAGGGACTGTGGCTGGATAGGCACAAAGAAGGGCCTTAAAATACAACACTAAAATTTTATCTGATAGACAAGAGACTCTTTGAACAACTCTAAATGGGTAATAATCACATTAGTGGCAGTGTGGACCAATAAAGAAGCTTCTGCCAAAAGCCCAGGCAAACAATGTGAAGTAAGCCACCCTACTGTGGCAATTGTACAATGTCTTTTTCTAACCAAGCAAATGGGGGATACTTTCAAATCTATCACGTAAAGAACAAAATGAAAAAGCCAGAGCAATATTTTCTGGAATTCTTTACACTTAAGGACACAGAAAGAAGTTATGTCAAAAAATGTTTAAAAACCCTTCCTTGAGGGATGCCTCGCGGGCTCAGTCAGAAGAGCATGCGACTCTTGATCACGGGTTTGTGAGTTCAAGCCCCACACTGGGTCTAGAGATTACTAAAAATAAATAAATAAACTTTAGAAAAAAAATCCCTTCCTTGAAAAAAAAAAAAACTCAATGATAACATGAATTTAAATTTTAGTACAGACAAGTTTAAGGCCAGTAATAGTCATAGTGGTAAGCAAACTGTGGAGTATCAATTTGATAGGATTAATAGGCACTGAAAATGACAATCACAGACTATATTCAAATCTAAGAAATTTAAAATGTACATAGAAAAAACAGAATAAAAATTTGTATGTGCAGGAGGATATTGTATATAGTATGTAGAATACATATGTTGACAGACTAAAAGAAAAAAATGAAAGTTAAAATAATGTTCTATTATTTTTACTCCATCTTCTATGGTAATAGAATGAAGTGAAATTTAAAAGCCAACCCAAGATTCATATTTATTGTATCTAATGGGCCTAAACCAGATAGGCTACACCCAATTTCTTCGTTCTTGGTTTTCTAGGATGGTTTTTACATATGGTAAAAACACATACTTTGGCTTGAAAAATCCTTATAATTCCTATTATGAATATGAACAGCTATTTCCTTCCCAATACAAAGGTAAGGCAAATTCAACAAGCTAAAGGGGTCAAAGTCCAAGAATACAGAGGAAACAAATCACATACACAATTTCTGCATCGTATTTCTCTTGAATGCTTCAGAGAAGAGTCTCTGGAAAATGGTTCTGATACCTACGAGCCTTTTAAAAAGCCATTTAAAAATGATTCAGTCAACAAACATACTATTTATTGTGTATCTATAAGCCATGCACTTTACTCTAAAGATACAAAGAGAAAATAAAACATTGTCCCTGCCCCAGGAGCTCCTAGTTTAAAAGGAGAGAAAGAATGGTTACAAATAATTGCAATGAAGTATGATGAGTCCTCTAATAGAGGTATGTACGAAGATACTGAGATGAGTAAAACACAGAGGTGTTTCAAATGAGACAAGTCAGGGTAAGCTTCTTAGGGGAGTCAGGTCTTAAATGAGTCATAGGAGGGGAAAGATGACTTGAATAGCATGTGCAAGGAAGTGTGAAACATGAAACAACCAGGCAAATGGGAGTAATTTTACATTAGTTCCTATGGTAAAGAGAGTGAGGGGAAGAACAACAGGAAATAAAGTTAATGGAGTAGACAGGGGAAAAAAATCACAGTCTTGTATTCAAACTAGAGAATTTGGCTATTACTGAATTCTGACAAATCTAAACTGCCATCAGTTAAAAGGTGAACCATGACTTTATGTACTATAAGAAGAAGAAAAAAAATCTTTCTGCTGGAGTCTATTATAAAGTTTAATAGAATACTCCTGCACAAAGATACACTAACAAGTGGCAACAACCTCAGTGTAAGGTAAAGAATTAAACCAGCTATGCAAAAAGGTACAGCAAGGAACTTCATTTCTCAACTTGCCCTTAGGTGAATGGAGGAGGGAAAATTCTCCCCGTGAGAACTGAACTCTAGGGTCTGCAGCCTGAACTAAAGCTACCAGTGTGGTCTAAAAACAAACAAAATAAACAGCAAAGACTTTAAAGTGGTCTCCTGTTGAAGTGTCCCTACATGCTTGGCAGAAACAAATGCAGGTTTTCTTTAGATAAACTAGACCTGAATCCAGGACAACAACAATTTAATATGCAATCTCATTTCAAAAATGATCAATAAAAAAATGTGCATCTTAGAACTGATGGAAAACAGTCGATCTTATAGTCTGAAATCTGGAGAGGTTTCATAATTACCTGGGGAACTTTTTTATTACGAGGCCACATACCTCAGACAGGTAGGCCTAAAGCAGAGCCCCGGAATCTCTATTTTAACAAGCTACACAAGGCTTTTTCTTACACGATCAGACAAGATACCAAAACATCAACAGCTGTTTGAACCATCCCCTGAAAACCCCTACTGTAGACAATAAAGAATAGGATGATTTTAAGCCAGGGAATAATTAGATCAGACTGACACTCTAAGAAGACCACTCTGGTGCCAGTGGACTTTGTGGAGAAGATACATTAGAAGAGGGTAAGGAAAGGCAATGGAGGAGTAGTAAATATAGTAAGAAATTACGGAAATAGTTTTAAGGCAAGATATCGTGATTAAATATAACAATGGCGAGAAAAATAAAGAGTACCAAGGAGGCAGAAATAGAATTTTATAAAAATTAGATGAAAGCAGAGGAGTATAATCTAATTCTAAAAACTTACTGAAGATTCACCCCTAATCAGCATTATATCCACTAGGCCTTTAAAAATAAATCTTAAATTTGAGTACAGTAATCCACCAACTTTTAGATGTATAATAATAAGGTGTAAGTGCTACACAAAATTCTGTACTAAGTATCAAATGTTCCAAATGCAACTAATACTCAAAATGATTTCCAAGTTCAGATGTTAAGCAGAGAGATTTTATTCCTTAATGTTTTACATTTCTATGAATTAATGTATATGCACTAAAAAATGAAAATCTCTTTGGGCATAAAAGAGAGAAAGGATCTTCACTGGTTGATAAATTTAAATTACATACAGAAAACAATGAATCAACAAACTTACGTTGAATATGAATGAACTGTTTTGGCTGTTTAAACTCTCCTTTGTACAAGCGATTGTAATAGTTGACGTTGCTCTCTGCCTCAGGAACTGGAATGACCATGCTCTCTTTTTTTTCTCTAAACACTTGCTGTGCTGAAATAGCTCGCTGTAAGTGATGTTCCTGGAAAACATAAAATAGGCAACATAAGTCGTTTTAATAATGTTAATTCAATGCATAATTCTATTTAAAATTTACTTTGTTTAGTAACTGCAAGGTGACTTAAGAATTAATTATAAGGTTTCTTTGCCATAGAACTATAGAAAACATTGCCATTGACATCTCTTAATACTTGTGCTCATCCTAATATCACCTTAGATGTTTATAATTTTATTAAGTAGAATTTTCTTTAAAGATTATACACATATTCATAAACTAGAATTTAACATCTCAATTAAAAGAAAATTGATTCCTTGTTTGCTAAATTAACAGAGGTGTTTGTCACCAATACCAGAATATGGGAAAATATGCGAATGACAGGAAAAGATTTGTGTCACAGGTTTTAATTATCTTCTGTAAGTACAAACCTGAAACTGCAACAGTATAAAATACTGAATAACTCAAAAAAAGAAAAAATTACATTCAACAAACTATATTACTATCACAGCAAGAAATATTTTTAAGCTCAGGTTAAACAAAAGTTCCTATAAAATAATACATCCTGATTCTAGTAACTTTCATTGTCTCCATCACTTAATACCTACTTTCTCCCTTGACCCACAAGGGACCATGCTCAACAAAGTAGTTTTACTTTGTAGAAGGCAAATTAGGTCATGTCACTCCCCAATAGATCCCCTTCATACTCAGATTAAAGATTAAAATTATCACTGACTTATAAGGCCTTATTTCTCTCTGACCTTATCTTCTACCTCTCCCTACCCATCCTTTATTGTAGCCACACTGCCTTTTCTTCAGGTTCCTAAATATCCAAAAGGACTGCTTTTGAAAATTCCTTCAAGTCTCATCTTATCAGAGAGGTGTTCTGTGATTTCTTTATCTAAAAGATAAAAAAGAGTACTGGCTAAGAATTTATCAGTCATTCTTTCAATACATTTCAGAGCACCTAGTAGACACCAGATACTAAGAGTGAATGAGAGACTCTGCTATTAAGGAACTCAGCTAGTAGAAGAGCGATATCTAAGTATGCAATCATGTTTGGGCTTGATAAGCATGTCTCTTCTCAATTAGTCAAACCACTGTCTAAGGAGGACAGAGAAAGATATCCAAAGAAAGTAACATCGAAACTAAATCTTTCAGGATTGGGGCACCTGGGTGGCTCAGTCAGTTGAACTTCTGCCTTAGGCTCAGGTCATGATCTCAGGGTCCTGGGATCGAGCCACACATCAGGCTCTCCACTCAGCAGCGAGTCTGCTTCTCCCTCTCCCTCTGTGATCGTTCACGCTCTCTCAACTAAATAAAAAAATCTTTAAAAAAGTTTCAGGATCGATAGAGATTTAGATTTAACAAGGCAAAAGACCAAAAAAAAAAAAGAAAAGAAAAGAAGAAAGAATCCAGGCAGAGAAGAATGTCCAAAATAGACAAAAGCTCAGAGACAGTCAATAAAAGGCAAGCAATTGAGATAGTGGGTGGGTGCTAGCTTAGATTTGAGTTTTTCCACTTTCAATACCAGAAGAAATGTTTTTCTTCATAGGATAAGATCCCAAGTTGGAGCACTAAATACACTTCCCCATACAAATATTATATCAATTTAGTAAGAGTCTTCAGTAAAAACCTTTTGAGTTAACTAAACAATTGTGAGAGGATCAAACACACCCACAAACAGCATCAAGGAATTAGGAAAGCCGGGCTCTGGAAAGAGCAATTTCTAGCATTATTTAAGTCTATATTTTCCTATTACCTTACTGACATTTCACCTCTCCTGGTCAAATAAAGTGATGCAATATGAAACGCTACTTTGTATTTTTATAACGTTTTATAGTTCTCAAAGTACATCTACAATCAAAAGCTTATTAACCCCTCAAATTTGGGGACAAGGATAGATATTATACTACATCATATATGAGACTCAAGAAACAAATGATTTGGGGCGCCTGGGTGGCTCAGACGGTTAAGTGTCTGCCTTCGGCTCGGGTCATGGTCCCAGGGTCCTGGGATCAAGCCCCACATCGGGCTCCCTGCTGAGCGGGGAGCTTGCTTCTCCCTCTCCCTCTGCCTGCTGCTTCCCCTGCTTGTGCACTCTCTCTGTCAAAAATAAATAAAATCTTTAAAAAAAGAAACAAAAAACAAATGATTTGCTCTTAGTTATGGTATAAATACATGAGAGTCAAATTTCAGGACTCTGACTTGAATGTTCTCTGACTATTCCATCTTTACTAGAATGGGCTGTTAAAAATAAAAAAACCTGGCTGTCTTTTGTTCCCTGCAAGCCTTCCGTACAGTGCTGTGAATTGTGTAAGACTGATGAATCACAGATCTATACCTCTGAAACAAATAATACATTATATGTTTAAAAAAAAAAAAAAAAGAAGATAGTAGGAAGGGAAAAATGAAGGGGGGAAATCAGAGGGGGAGACGAACCATGAGAGACTATGGACTCTGAGAAACAAAATGAGGGTTCTAGAGGGAAAGCGGGTGGGGGGATGGGTTAGCCTGGTGATGGATATTAAAGAGGGCACATACTGAACGGAGCACTGGGTGTTATACGCAAACAATGAATCATGGAACACTACATCAAAAACTAATGATGTAATATATGGTGATTAACATAATAAAGTAAAATTAAAAAAAAAATAAATTAGAAGTAAAAAACCTGGGGCACTTCGGTGGCTCAGCCGGTTAAGCGTCTGCCTTCAGCTCAGGTCATGAACCCAGGGTCCTGGGATCCAGGCTCCCTGCTCAATAAGGAGTCTGCTTTCCCTCTTCCTCTGTCCCTTCCCTCCACTTGTGCTCTCTCTCTCAAAAAATTAAATCTTTAAAAAATAAAATAAAAAATAAAAAAATAAAAAACCATGTTCTTGTAATGCTAATAATCTAGAAACATGGGTGATGACAGGAAACTGAGCTAACTGGTAGCACATTTTTGATTTGAAGAGATTCTTTTGATATATAATGGACTTTCTCCTAAGTACAAAACATTTTTAGGTATTATCCAATTATTGAAATACATCTTTAATAGATGAAGATTTAATATTATTTTAATTTTACATGTGAGGAAATTTAAAAATAGATCATAGATGACTCTCTTCTTGTTAACACAGCTGGCAGATGACAGAACTGCAGCCAGAAATTAAGGAGCCAGACCATGACACACTCCCCCATTTTAATTTACAGACCAAATTTAGCTCTAAAAATAAATTCTCAGCTATCATTTCCTTCCCCATATTATCAGACAGACTCTCAACCTAAAAACTCAGAAAAAACCAACAACGATAGAGCTTCTAGAGGCCTGTGTTTCATACAATAACCATAGCCAGTGACGTAAACATACAAAATCCTGGAAGTAGGTACCAACCAGAGTTTTCATTTGTCTTTACTGGGGCAAAGGGTTGGCAGGAATAATGGTGATTCCTTGTCACATGCTGCATTATGCATTGGTGAGGTTACTTGGTTTTTAAAAGGGCTACTTGGTTTCTTTTCCATTAAGAAGGCATTCTTTTGACCTACCAACTCCACTTAGGAAATTCAACAAAGGCAACATACAAAGGGGCAACAATGACTAAATAAAATGCTTATCAGGCACTGTTTATAACACGAAAAAAAAAAAAACCCATAAAGTCTAAATGGCAACAGAGAATTAGTTATATAAAATTATGTTATAGATATAAAACGGAACTCTTGGGTAGTAGTAAAAACCAACATGATGCAGACCTCTACTAACCTGAAAAGATGTTAGGATGCTTTGAGGCAAGAGACAGGTGGATGGGTGCTAGTTTAGATGTACAAATATAACATGTATAAATAGAAATGAGTATGTGTGTAGAGAAAATAGACTAAAATACAGAATAGAATACACCACAAAATATTTTTTAGGTGGGCCTTATATTCTTCTGTGTTTCTGCTCTCCCATATTTTCCAAATTTTCTGTAATAAATCTATATTACTTTCCTAAGTTTAAAAAGTGGTATAAAAGTTTTGCATCTTAAATGAAGGGACTCACCACCAAAATACACAAAGTCACTTCTTATGACTTTGACATTCTGAAATATCCTTTTGAAACTTATGTATTATACCTAAACATTTTTGTATTTTCCTAGATATTTACATTCTCTGTGCCTTCTGTTTTTCCTAGTAGTAAACGATAAACTGTTAAAAGCAAACTAAAAGGAACTAAATAACTCATGGCTTTTAGTCATATATAATAAGTACCAAGCACTATCCTACAAAATGCAGGCGAGAATTTTTTTTTTTTCTTTTGGGGAGGAGTAAACTAAGGCTCTATGGCCACACTGGTAGAAATCAGCAGTGCTAAAATTTGAATCCTGGTTTGTATGACTCTTTTCCATCTTGCCAACCTCATGCCCCAACTTGTTGTGTACCAGAATCTATCAACTGAGGGCGCCTGGGTGGCTCAGTCATTAAGCGTCTGCCTTCGGCTCAGGTCATGATCCCAGGGTCCTGGGATCGAGCCCCGCATCGGGCTCCCTGCTCTGTGGGAAGCCTGCTTCTCCCTCTCCCACTCCCCCAGCTTGTGTTCCCTCTCTCACTGTGTCTCTGTCAAATAAATAAACAAAATCTTAAAAAAAAAAAAATCTATCAATTGAGATCAGCTGCACTAAAAAAAGAAAGAAAATCAAAGATTCTCCATTGGTATTTTAAAAATTCACATGCAAAACCCCCAGTTAAAGACAGCAGACTAAATGCCTACATTTATCTACTTCACCACCCTACAATAGTAAATTTACCAATAAAGGACTAAGAAACTTATAAAGCCACGATAACAAAGAGAATGAGAGATGAGCCATCAGCCCAAAACAGTGTTGCAAAATTCTGGGAGATCAAAATCAAAAGATGAAGTTTTGAGTCCTTGCAGAGAAGGAAAAGATAAAAACTGAGCCCATTTGTCCTATAGAAAACACGATAATGGGGATTTTGAAACACTAGTTAGAAACAGCTAAAGTGAGACAAGTACTTCTTTGCCTATTCCTCCAAAGTAGATCATTCTA